TGCTGTAGTCAAGCAGCACTAGGCAAGTAACATTTCCTTTATCAATTGAATTATATATATACTCAGTTACGTCTAGAAGCGCAGTAGTAGTGCTGTGACTAGAACGAAAACCCGATTGCGTAGCCGGTAAGATGTATTCTTCCATAAACTTGTTCATTTGTTCTTTTAAGATCATCTCTAATACTTTTGATAGAGTAGGCAGTATGCTAATTGGCCTAAGATCTGAGTGGGTAGTGGGATTGTTACATTTTGGTAATGGAATAACAGAGGCTCTCTTCCATTGCTCCGGGAACTGACTACTGGAGATACATGTGTTAAATATGAACGTTAAATGTTCTAATAAGAATTCGTCTACCAGGTGAATTAGTCTCAATGAAATATTATCTGAACCTACAGCGTTGCTTTTAATTTTGTAAAGATGTTTTCTCACTTGAGATGATGTAACGGGGAAAAATTGAAAAGTATTATCACTAGACTGGTTCTGATATCGATCAAGAAGATAAAGTTGGGGGTGAGTTTTTTGTGTGTGAGTAATGTTGGTGAAGTGATTCAATTGCTACAATAATGAATAGTTTTTAACTATAAATTATAGTAAAATTTTCTACAAAAAGTTAAATATTTTTCTACAAGTCTACTACTACAACATTGTAGTAAAATTTTCTAGTCACATTTTTTCCGTGCATACATATTTAATTAGATAAGCCAAATCACACAGGCATGATAGCGTAAATGGTTTACCGTCTGGCTTTTTCAAATTATCATATTATAACCCCTACAATATTTTGTACTATTTTATTTACTGTTCAGAAAAAAATTGTGAGTAAAGAAATGAGTAACCATTATTATTAAAAAAGTGTTTGTTCACGGTTGTTCAACTTATTTGCTTAAAACAATTGTAAGTAATGTTATTTTAGCTTTATGATCCTATGAGATTGTTTGTAAATGGAATCACAATATTTTTAATTTTGACAAAACACTATCTGTAATGTTAAACGCTTGAAAAATTATTCATTAAGGCATATAAAAAACAAATCTAAAACCAGCTAACCTTTATAGGCCGATTTTCCAGTTTTGCATTGTTTTGAAAGTGATTTTTTAAACTCGCGTGATTGTCGCACGAGGCATAAGCGAGTGCGACAATATTTCCTTTCTTGATATTTTTACCTTTTTCCTTGTAGCCCGGCTGTATCTAGATGGTTCAGTAGAAGTTATATAGAAGTTTTGTAGAAGTTTTATCGAAAAAGATTGTTTGGAAAAACGTTCAAACTACATGTGTAGAAGTATTGAAACTTAGAAGTTTAGTTCCAGCTACAGAAGTTGTTTCAAGTATATCAAGAGGTTTAGTTCGAGCCATCCAAAGAAGTTCACGAGATTTAACTTTACCTATGAAGATTTAACAGTTGGTGATATTCAAGCGTATATCATACGAATCCCCTTTACCTGTTATACCACAGATAAGTCTATAATAAATCATTTAAATTTGAATAAGTAAGTCTCTGTGAATTAGAATTTGTCGCTGCCTTATCTGAAACCTTATTTAATTATAATATCTTAATGGTTAGTGATTTTCAATATTTTCATCACTAATCGATTGTCAAGTTTAGAAAGTTTTAATAATAGTGGCTCTCAACATTCTTTTTCAAAGTAATACGAGTTGTTTAATAACCTGACCCACTCCCCAAATTCATAGAGCTTAAAACACTATAAAAATAGATAAAATAACAAGATCGTATTACAATCTTTGCGATATACTGTAATCTACCCCTTTGAATGTTTATGAAAAATGTTACAATCTAAGTTTAAAGTAACTTTAGCGGAGATCTTACGTACATTTCTTAAAATTCTCTATTTTTGGTCGTCAAATGTGGTTTACTTCTATTCACGTGTAAAAAAAAATGAAATGAAATTTTTTAAAAACCTATTAAAAAATAAATTTAGTGAGGGACGACTATGGATGCATGTGAAGTATTTCAAAAATAGTACCTAGGTACTTAATAATAGACTAAGAATTTACTACGTTGCCATTATTTGGGTATTACTATGCACTACAGGCTATTTTCAAATACAAAAGTCACACATTATTACTATACCTACCTATTCCATTCAGGTGGCTCGCTTTTGTCCTTTTTTGGATGTGCTTCTAAGAATTACAAAAAAAATATGTATACTATTAGTACGATTCAAAATCTCTAGTGATAAGTTTCAAAAGAAAGTATATTATTGTAAAATAAATAATGTATTATTTATTTATAAACGTTATGCATTATTTTTTTCGTGAGAAATGTAGATTTTAGTGAAAAAGTAAAGAAAATTATTATCGAGTATTTAATGACATTCATTACAGAGTGTCAGCGATCTCTCATGCTAAATATTAATGATCGAATTTGGTATTCAATGATTTAATTCCAAATTTCTAATATTTCGTTATTCAACTATTTTTACCGGTATGCGAAATATAGGAAATTTTTCCAGAAATGTACAAGGCCACCTCATTTGTATTCTACCTACCAAATCCTGCATAATTACTGCCTGTATAATTATAAAATTATGAAGATATTAAATTGAATTGAGGATTGAAGGTACTGTCATCCAATTTACGTGTTTGCAAACATCGTAACAAAATAACAAAGCGTGCCGAATATCCCTTTTCAGGTTTACCGGATTTGTAATGGCTTTATAACCCCACCAAATTGCCCAATAAATATAAAATTTTAATCCTTTATTCCTACGACGGCAAAGAGGTAAGGTATGTAGGCTATTTAGTTTTGGTACGACCCGGTACTTAAGTCATATTTCGTAAATAATACCCAATATTACATAAAAGGGGTTTGATAAGGCAAAAGTGAACGAACTGGTTATTGCGATAGACGGTTTGGTTTACTTTTATGGGTGGTGGGACGAAAAAGGTGTCTTTTAAAAGGATTAAAAATATGTAGTTTACTTTCTTGGAATCAATTATTTTATACAAGTTTTTGTTTATTCTTTAATGATTATTATCCTAGTGAAGAGAAATACGGGTATACGTTGGCAATAATTTTTTGATACTTTGATAGTAATAATAATATTATTTATAATAACATGTAGCTACATTTTAAAATAAATTATATGTATATATTAGTGTTTCAATAAAAGATATTTATTTGTACCAAAGTAACACAAAGTCAATCACACATAAAATCAATAATTTTAGAAGTTGGATAACCTTCTTCAGTTAGAATTTATTGATTGTACCTAGATGTAAATACCTGTGTTTGAAAGTGAGCATTAAAGAAAAAAACTGAATAAAGAACAGTTTGCCTCTTATACATAAAATAAATGGTGACAATAATAATTACACAAAAGTTAAAGTTGAAGTTATGATGAACTCTGATGATGATCTTAAATACACAAATTTTAAGGAAGAAGAAACAGATTTATTGCCACACAAATTTTACATTATTTTTCATTATAATCATATCAAATGTTACTTTTAATTACTAGATTAATGATAAATATGAATCAATCCTGGTATACGTTGCACTCCAGATGCCATTTTACTGTCCAATACCTTTTAGTTACCCTTTTCGTAAACTGAAAAGTTTGGTATTTTTTCAATACCTTACACAAAACCAACTTAAAAGCACAATGTTATTTTAAAAATCTCGAAATACGGAGTCTTTTAAACGGTCAATAATAAGCCACTTCCTGTTCCAGTGAATAAAACTTTTTCAAAATAGCAAGGCACAAAGGGGGCTATTGTGCGAAATTTTTCTATTTACTAGTAACTTCATTCAAGGATCGAGTGCCTATATGGAGTGGGCCACCCGCTAGACACTTGCCAAAAAGAGTAGCGGTAGATTTTTCACATGGGCGGATCTAGCTACAGGTTCAGCATCAAAAAAAGAACCTTTTCAAAATAATTGTACAACACCCTTTTTATATGTAATTCAAGATTCACTTCATATTTTTTTAATCAAATCTGCAATCTGTTATAAAAGTAGAACGGTTTCGTCCTTATTAGGATTCATCAGTAAGGAATAGACATACTCAATGTCGGCCCATAATAGAATCTGCCAAGGTGTTAAATTCACCCGCCTACATGGGCGGTTATGAGACAATAAGAAGTCACAAAGCTTTGATTTTGCCAAGTGCTGAAGGCGTTACTTTTTTGTGTAATTATAATAGTACAGTAAATTTATTATATTAGAAAACGGCACTAATAAATTTAAAAAAACTATATAATAAAAGTTAATAAGTAAAAAAATATATAAATTTCTTTTTTTTTTCATGTTCATTGGTGTTTGAACTATATTATATTTATTAAGGTTTTTCTAATTGCATAACTCTGAATTTTGGCTGTATTATATAATCTTAAAGTTTTTATTATTCTTAATATGTGGTTTTTCTCCAAGGTTAGATACTCATAATAATTATGATTATTAATTTTTTGAAACAAATTTTTATTTGAAACTGAGAATGACTTTTTATTTTTGATTAAAAATAATTTTTTTAAAGATAATTCAAACATTAAGGGTGAGATTACAGAACGTCTGCAACTTTGCAGATCTGCAAATATGGCGGACTTACAAATGCAAGTATTCCAAAAAATATCTGCAAATTCGCAATATTTATTGTGGTTTATTATCCCCAACAACACTAAACCCAAATTTGGAATACGAAAACTTGATACTTGCATGTGTAAGTCAGTCATATTTGCAAGATTTTCAAAGTTGCCGCCATATTTGCAGATCTGCAAAGTTGCAGACGTTCTGTAATCTCACCCTTAAGCTGCAATTATTAATGAGCTTGGTTGGAAACATTTTGGGTGTTATGCTCATACCTTGAACTTAATTGTTCAAAATGCTTTAACTTTGAATATAATTAAAGAACTCATAAACAGGGTCAAAATGATAGTTGGTCATTTTAAAAGTCCTAAACCAACATCAAAATTAATAAAAGCACAACAAAATGCTGGAGTTAAGAATCCTTTGAAGCTTCTTTAAGATGTGGCAACATTTTATATGCTGCAGAAATTCACAGAGCTTGAGGAAGCAGTTAGAACCACTGTAGCTCTTTTAGATACTACATTACCACACATTAGTGTCGAAGAGTGGCAAATACTCAGAGACTTGCAAACGCTTTTGGAACCATTTGAAGAAGCTACTCGGGCAGTCAATGGTCAACAATATATGACAGCGTCATTAGTTATTGTTATTACTAATAGCCTTTTGGATATTTGTAAAGAAGTATCTCCTCGTTTTGCAGTTAATGCCAAAGTTTTCGCCAAACAATTAGAAAAGGAACCTAATGAACGAATGGGTACAGTGAAATATAGTAGCACATTAGCCATGCGTACGTTTTTGGATCCTCGTTTTAAAACTATATATTTCAAAAATAACGATGCTATGGAAGAAGCAAAGAAAAGTGTAATTTAATATTATTAACAAAAAAAAAAAACGAGAAACATAATACATTAGAAGTTGGGACAAATGAGAACAACAACAATGATGATGACAGAGCAACCACAACTGGCGCTGCAACAAATCAAAAGAAGAAACAAAAACTTTTTCTCTGGGCTTTTGTTGATAAGCTAGTTTGGATTCTCATAATAAACCTATAAAAACTTCTACATCCAGAGCTATAATTGAAGTCCAAAGGTACATAGAGGACAATTTACTTGAAAGAAAAAAGATCCTTTACGTGATGACTAGAAAACAAATTTATTTACCCAAATCTCTCTCTGTTGGTAAAAGAAAAAGACTGCATTGTTGCGACGTCTGTTTCATGTGAACATTTATTTTCAATAGCAGGCCAAATACTAAGTGAACGAAGTACTCGCCTGCGAAATATTAAAGCTCAGCAACTTTTGAACATCTATTAGGTTACTACAAATACGTTGAGTACAAGCAACCATTGTTTAACTTTTAATATGTACAATATATTTAGTTTGCAAACGACATAAAAATAGAAAAACCGTTGATTGGAACCACGATTAGCTGTTGGAACACAATATGGCGAAAGTGAACCCGTCTTGGACCTCGTGACAGCGTCTCCCTAACTTCTACCTCCATGCTTAGATATTATTGAAGTCTATGGCATGGACTTACGGCCTACAACAGCTCTGAGGTGTGCCACTAAAAATAACATAAATATGATGCAGCAGACCAAAACATTAAAGACAATAATTATTATAGGTATTTACAGTTCATCAAATTTCTAGAGGCTTTCGACGGCTAGACAGAGAAAGCACTACTGACAGGCATCCCGACGGATTTACGCAATGAAAGTACACTCTGCGCATCAAGTATTTCACTATTTCATTCAGACGTAAATGTCAGATGTAAATTTCGCTAAAACATTTCTTTTATTTTCGTTTGTGTTTTTTGCTCATTACAGTTTAATAGAACCTAAGTATGGAGTTTAATAGCAAATTAAGAGGCCGCGTGATTAACAGTCAATCTCGCGAAATAATAGCCAATGTTATAGAGTTTATGAGAAGAGAAGGAAACTTTAATTCACCTTCAATACCATTTAAAAATGTAAATGATCGTGATGCTGCAGCCACAGGAGTATCTAAAAACACTGTCGTCCGCATTTCTGGAGAGAAAAAAAGAATCGATAACCGTGAGATATCGGAATTTTCATCAGCAAGAAAAACCATTAAAAAACCAAAAACAGTTAATGATATAGATGAAGCTGCACAAGAATCAAATTTTATTTTTTTATTATTAGATAGCTATTTTTGTTTCTGAGTTGTGTTCATTTACAGGCTCAATTTTTTTCCGTTTCTCCTTTTTGATTTTATATGGGGTTTCAAGTTGTTTTTGACTTATTTCGACGTAAATCACAACAACACACTTTTTTTAATAAAGCAAACAAGTGTTAAGAGGTATATGTACGTGTAAACTACAATTACAAAAAATTGATATGAAACCCATGAAACCACCAACAAAAATGTAAAGCTAGCTTCCGTACTAGAACATGGTGTCATTCGTCGAGATAATTTATCGTTTTGTTTAATAGATCAAGAAATGTAAATATTCCCCTGTTATTTTTTATAAAATTATAAGAGAAATAATTTTTTTTCTAAATAGTATAGTTTATTATTTTGTAGAAAAACAAAATTTCGAAAATTTTAGTAATGTTTCAGAAACAACCGTTATTAATAATAGGTACAATTTTCCTTAATAAAGTAGAAATAAAATATATATTATTTCCACGATTTACAAAGGCCTACAAAAAAATTATAGGTATTTTCCGCTATCCTATAAAATTTATATTTTCTGACTCAATTTCAAAAGGTTGAAGGAATTCCAAAACACCTTTTATGGCATAATAATTATTTTCAATTCTACATACTATCTTTAGCTGCTTTTAAAAACGTTCTAAGAAAGTCCAATCAGACCAATTTAATCCCTAAACTATTCCACACTTTTAAAATTTAATTACCTAAAAATATTAAAAACTATTTAAAATAACTTGTTTAGCAGACTGTACAATAGCTATCTTAGTCACACGTAGCGCGTTCTCTGTCTGGGCGTCGAACACCTCTAGAAATTTGATGAACTAAGGAACTAATACACCTTCATAGATATCTGAGCAGAGTCGACGAAAGGAGCGGGCAAGCTGAGGAGGCAAATGGGCTGTAAAATTAACTAGTTAATGAAGAGAATAAATAAACCAAAATTCATTTGAATATTTATGAAAAATTAATATGAAAATTTTAATAAAATTTGCATTTATTGTGTTTTACGAACTTTTATCTTTTAAGTATAGGTACCCACTCACTTCAAAAATCCTCAAACATGAGAACTACATAAGAAGGCTGAGGTAAGTAGTATTTATAAAAACACGTTTTGAAAGATGAGTAGAGTTTTCGTGTATTAAAGACAAAGTCCAAAATCGATTCGGGCCGCAGGAAAATCGTTAGTGGGCCACATGGCTAATTTAAAAGATACCCCTTAAAACGACTTACTAAAATATTGTAGAGATCTATAAATAGTGTTAACTGATGGGAATTATTCAGATATAAACCCGCTGGACTTGGCAGATGACAAATAGTATCGGTTTTGGCCTCACTAAACAAAACAGAAAGTCAAATCGAGAATTTTAAATTCGTTTCAAAGCTGGACTTTGTTCAACACCTCGATATAGTTTTAAGAATCTTGCTTACTCTCCCAATAAGTATGGCAAGTGGCGAAATTCTCCAAATTAAAGTTAATTAAATTAAAATTAAAATTTTTTTGCTCTATAATTACCGAGGATCAGCTAAATGGCTTAACAATATTAACCATTGAACATGAGCTAGCTGAAGAAATTGATGTCAATAATATTATCAAAAAATTTTCAGAATGGGGCATGTTCAAAAATTTTGAATTTTTTTTTTATGAATAATACAGTTCAAAATAAAGCTACATTTAATTTTTTTTATCTATTCATTTGCCCGAGTTAATTATTTTTAAAATTTATGACGTCATCGGGAATAGTCTAATAGGAACTAGCCACACAACGTTGCCAGTCAGACTGTATACGAAAAGTAATATACGTTCGTTTGTGTGCACCGTCTTACTTTTAGACTTCTAAAATATCGTTAAACAATATCTTTTAAATATAAAATATCAAATGTTTTTAAAAGTATTTATAGTTTCATTGTTTTAAAAAACGACAACTAATAAACAAGGAAATGGAAATGCGGCAGCACTGTATGTCAGATGACACATGCAGTGCTGCCTGTGTCATCTGAGAATCAGAAATTTTTGTGTTGTCAATCGATAATTATGCAAGTTTGATGTTTTTATAAATATTATTAGTATGAAAAAAAAAGGTTTCCTCCCAAGATGTGATAATGATTTATATTTTACATTCATTATTGAAAATATTTATTAGTGTTGCTAGAAATATGAAAAGACGAAAATTGTTATCATTACACAGAAATGCTTCAAGGAACAGCTATATTATTTTGTTGAGGTTTGTATCTACACTCTTTATTAAAATAAAAATGTTTTATTGTAATCTAATTATTCAATTATCTACCATTGTAGTAACGATGCTTTTTTCTTTTTTTTAGATACCAGATTATTTTGAAAACTGTTTAATTATTTAAATGATGGATAAACCTTTACATATAAGAAGTGGGTTCACATGTCTCCACAGTTCTTGTTATTCACCACACAAGAGCCAGCTCACTAATTCTACCAAAAACAGAAAACAAAACAAATGTTGACTGGAAAATAACCTTCTATTAGAGGCATTTTTCATCTCTATTTAATAAATATACACCAGATCATCAAGATGCAGCAGCAATTTCTGTCATTGCCCCCTTCGGTTAATTTAAAATGAGCCTACTATAAATTCGAAGGTGTATATCCTAAAACCCCTTTTGCAAGAACCTGCCTCGAAACCTCCTGAAAGTTTTAAAGATAGTGAAGTTTTGTCTGAATCGGAAGAAACATCTTTAATATCTGATTCAAAGGGCAGGATCTTCAAAACCAATGAAACTATCAAAATTGAAAATAAACCGAAGGTATATTTAGGATTGCCCCACAGGGTTTTTAAAATCCTCAATATTTATGAGAAGGAAAGTGTAGTTTACATAAACCTTTTACATTTCTGTGTGAATTAGTGGTATTTCTAACTTAAAAGAACTCATTTTGTAAGACTAAATACCAAATAATTTAATAAACTGTTTGTTCTTTTTTGATTAATTTATGACATTTCAGAGATTATAATAATTGTATATAAACAAAAATGTAAAATCTGTGAAAATTTTATTTATTAACCTATTATTAAAAAATAGGCAAATTGTATGAACTCATTTTATGCAATAACAAATTTGCTATTTCTCAGGTAATACATAATTATACCCTTACTTCTAATTATAGAAATAATACCAACAGCACAGCTTTAAACGTCGAAAAATATATTTTTCTTATAAATATAAATGAAGTAAAGGGTAAACGTAAAATGTTTATTTTTGAAAAACTGTTACTGTTCAACAACCCTAATGACTTGAGATAAATATGTTTTTACTATAAGGTGTATTGCTCCATATAAACTGTAACTACTATTAAAACAAATTATAAATAAAGTCTTACATACCTTTGTGTCTCTTTTAAACTGAGTATTGTTAAAAAATGCAGTAATCATCTCGGTAATCATATCTTGGTTTACAATGGGTAAAATACTCGTATCAACTTTTATAAATCCAGCTGACAAACTCATATTATTAATAAAATTAAACCAATTAGCAAAGACAGAAGAAATAAATCTAGAATTGAGAAAGAAGTATACAAAACAAAAAACGAATGTTAGGTTAGGTGGTCTAGGTGGTGTCAATTTTAAGTGTCACTTAGATGTGCGTTCACTTTGACATTCTGTGTGTTGGTTTGTTTGTTGGCTTGGTTCTGTATAACAAAAAAACTTCGACGCAAGCTGA